CATTGCAAAAAGTATAAATAATTATAGCCTGGGAACAAAAAAGCTCTAAAATTTACTTCCACCCTGTCCCAATCCTGAGAATAAAATATTGATAAAATATTTTTTTTAAATAAAATATTTTATGTATTATTCTCAACTAGACATAATTATCAATAAATTTTAAGTTTTATAATATAATCTTTTAATGTTCAAAAGTTATGACCATATTAAATTTGTAACCCCCTTAAATTGAGAAAGGTTCAAACTTTGTAAGGTCTTAATTTTTGAACGCTAAAATATTTCACTATGACATTTAAAGTTTATCAATGAATATAAACCTAGTTGAGAAATGTACAAAAATATTTTACCAACTTGTTGCTCTAATGATTGGGGCAGGGGGGCAAAAAACTTTGGGTCATTTTTACTCTCAGGCTCCAATCATTGCAATTTTTTACAAAGCATCCTTTTTTGGCATAAGTATAAACAAATGTTTATATAAATAAGAGTATTGGAGTTATAAGTGAAGTTAGAGTGAGTCTACTGAATGATTAAACTTGATTACAAGGGGAAAGGGGCTCAAAAAATGAAGAAAAAGATTTTAATGCTTATGTGTTACATAAGATTATCGGACTAAAGTTCAATACTCATGTAAAATTTTTTACAATCTATTTTAATTCATAAAGATTTAGCTTTTAAAATAAAAAAAATTAAAAAAAAAAAAAAAAGCAAACAAAAACTATAATTTGTGAAAATAAATTCTGACTTCAAAACATTATTGATCAGCATAATTTTAAACCTTGACCCTCCCTTATAATTGCTTATTTCATGTACTCTCAAAAAATATTGATCTTGTGCAAAATAAATGCTCTTGTTTAAAAATTTCTAACTGGGGAGAGGACTTAATAAATGGATGGGTGCAAATATTCATTAGTGCATTTATATTTATTTTAAGGTTAGTTTACTCTAAATGGGTTTTTTAGTTGTGAGATATGATTTTCTTGTTGATAACAAGTAAATTATAATAAACAGACTGATTTTTTAACTAAATTTTATTAAATAAAAAAATTTAATTAGCAAACTTAATAAGCTCAAAATAAATAGGAAAGTTTCTGAAAAAACTTGGAATATTGTAATAAAAACCATCTTGGCCCTAAATGTTATCTAAAATTTATCAACTATGTAAAGTTTCCAATCCCCACAAAATAAAGTCTCTGTAAATTTTATATAGTTATATTTTGATTTCAACTGCCATTTATTAAAATTTTTTGCAAAGCAAAATCCTTATTTGACTAATTGGATTGATTGTAGAAAACTTTTTTTTAATGAAAAGAAAACAATTTAATAAAAAACTAGTAATATATATATATATTCTGATACCACAAAAATGTTTTTAGCCATTTGTAGCTATGAAAATAGCTGTTTTAAAAATTGAGATAATATCAGATAATTGTTTTCAATTGTCAAATGTGAAATTTACATATTGTTGATTATATACATACTTATTAATATACATATTAATAAGTACTCTTCTTTTTTAGTGAATTTCGCAGTGACTTAGACTTGAGTTGTTGAACTTTAATTTTGTAGGCCTGTAGATTATCCTTGACATAGGAAAATGTCCTTGCTTTCACATACAAATTCAAGATGTCTTCAAGAACATTTAAACAAACTTCTTTATTAACAAAAGTATCAGTTTCACTTCTAATTCTTGAACAATTAGATAAAACATTTGTATCTTTAAGAAGTGAGGATAATATTAGCATAAATGTTGTTAAATCAGTTTTTCATATTATAGAAACTCCTTTATATCATATTTTTAATCTTTCTCTTCAATCTGGAACAGTTCCAGAAAAATTAAAAATTGCACGGGTCTTGCCTATTTTTAAGTCTGGCGATGACACAGATTCTTCAAATTATAGACCAATATCAGTTTTACCATGCTTTTCTAAGTTACTCGAGCGTATAATGTATAATAGGCTAAACAGCTACTTAACAGTAAATAACATGTTGTTCAACAAGCAATTTGGCTTTAAAAAAATCATTCAACTGATCACGCTTTGACCGAGTTAGTAACTCGTGTAACCAATGCCTTTAATGATGACCGTTTTACATTAGGAGTATTTATTGATCTGTCTAAAGCCTTTGACATAGTCAACCATGTCATTCTTTTAAAAAAACTTGAACATTATGGAATAAAAAACAATAATTTACTATGGTTTAAAGATTACTTGTCAAACAGACAGCAATACATTCAATATGAAAATGTTAAAACGACAAAAAGTATAATAAAATGTGGAGTTCCTCAAGGCTCAATCTTAGGACCGTTACTGTTTTCTCTTTATATAAATGATCTATCTCTTACCTCGAACATACTAAACTTTATTTTGTTTGTTGATGACTCCAATCTGTTTTATTCTCATAGGGATATTAAAACCCTCTTTAAAGTAGTTAATGAAGAAGTAAACAAAGTAAATGAATGAATCTTAAACTCAATAATATAAATATTACTAGGAAAACAACTGTAAACTTTTTAGGTATTATTTTAGACGAAAATTTAACATGGAGGAAACATATAAACACTCTTGAAAAAAAACTTTCAATAAACATTGCAATGATGTATAAAGCAAAACCATTTTTGGATATAAGATCTCTAAAAAGCTAATATTTTTCCTTCATACATAGCTATCTAACTTACGGCAATATTGTATGGACAAGCAACAGCTACGCTAAGTTAAAAATTTATACTAAACAAAAACATGCATGTAGAATTGTATTTGGAGTAAAAAGATCTGTGCCTTGTGAGCCACTTTTACGTAAACTCAATGCATTAAATGTGTTTAAAATTAACATATTCCTCGTCATACAGCTCATGTATCATATAAAACATGGACTGTCTCCAACGATATTCTATCCTTATTTTAGAGAAGTAAGCCATAAATACTCCACCAAGTTCTCAGAAAATAACTTTGTAACTCAAAAGTATAATCTAAAGTTATGTTCTTATTCTATTCAGTACAGGGGTCCAATTTTGTGGAAAAACTTTCAGCATATTGTTAATATTAAAGAAAAAACACTTCCGCAATTCAGATCTAAATTAAGACGTTATTTAGTACTTACGGATTTTAATATAGCAGATCTTTTATGTCACTTTTAAAGCTTTAAAGTTTATTAAACTAAATTAGCACCATAAATTTAAAAATCTAGACCATTTAACAATACTAAGAATTTCAATGTCTTTATCATACTTTCATTGAATATATATATTCTCTTAAAGTTACCTACAATTTTCTTGATATATTTTATAATATTGGAACAAAATTTTTATTTGAATTTTGAAATATTTTGAAAGAAAATAATCTATACAAATATATATGTCGAATCACATCCAATTTATAACCAAAAACAAAAAATTGTTGTCATTTTTATTACTATATTTTAATCGTTTCTTTTTCTTTTTTTTCTTTTTTCTTCAATTATTTTAATACTTTTTTTTTTTCTTTTTAACTTTGTTTCTTAACATTTTAAATTGTCTTATTTTAAATACTTTTGCTTATATATTATGGATTATTGTATATTACGGATATTTATTTGCGTTACTATTGGGGCTCGGTAATAAAGCTATTTTATGCCTTCTTCTTGCTCCAGCCAATTGTACTTTTTATATTGTTGTACTTTGTAAATATTTTTAACGGCGAAATAAACTAATAAACTAAAAAAAAAAAAAAAAAAAACTAAAAAAAAAAATATTTTCTTAATCTAAATCTATATTTTCTCAATCTAAATAAATGATAAAAAATTAAAGTTAAACGTTCAGAAACGTTCAGAACCGCATTTTCTAGATTCGGTATTTCCACCAAAAAGTTCAATGAAAGTCTTTACAGCACATTCTCCAACTTCTTTTTTGGTTGCCCAGTAATCCGAAATAATTTCAGATACTGATTGTATACTAATTGATTTTTGCAGTAATTTTTAAAAAACAAGGTTTTCCTTTTCCCGGTATTGAAGATGTCGAGTCACATCCTGACCATGCATGAACAAATAACAGATGTTCTCTAAAATCCATTTATCGAGATTGAGCATCTTTCATACTCCAGAGCTTTTTCTTGCTTTCATGATAAAAAAAACCTCATTTAATTCAATTTTACAATCATACATTTGCATCACTGCTTTATCCGTATCATCGGCAACAATAATGCATGGTAAAATTTCTTTTGCAACTTCCAACAATTTAGAGACAATTTTTGTGTCGGCATCCACTTTTCAAATATATACTTCTTGACCATCTCGTTTAAGATAATCTGACAAAAGTAAAATTAATTGTGCTTTGTTGCGTGAATTCGATAGAAAGCGCTCTTGCGAGTACGGAACCTGATTATTTCTCTTATGAAAAAATTTTGTGAAGAACTTTCGCATTTTGTTCTTCTGATGTGTTCATTCGATTTGATTGAAGACCCCTTATAATAACCATTAAATATAATATAAGGTAGTAGTGGCATAATTTTTTCTTATATAGCTGACGTAGGTCAGCTATATAAGAAACAATTTCTATAAATCAACAATCCCTATAAATCTCATTCCCAGCGGGCACTTTGACGTCCTAAGGACGTCCGTAAGACGTATTAAGTCTCGTCCGTAAAACGTCCTTAGTTGGTCTCAAATGAAAGACTTGAGGACGTCTATTCCAGACGTCCTAAAGATGTTTTTTTAAAAGTCCTAGAGACGTTTTTTGCAGACGTTCTAGAGACGTATTTGGCTGCTTTCATATGAAAGACTTAAGGACGTCTTATTCAGACGTCCTAGAGACGTTTGAATTTTACCAAGACATTCTTTTACCAAGAATTTTACCAAGATATTTTTTATATAAAAATGCAATGATTTACAACACCCACCTTAGATTTACCTTAATCTAGACATGGGAAGTTATAAAAAGAAATCAATGTAAATAAAGTGTTATTTGATATATTTAAAATAAATTAATAACTTTACAAAAAAAAAGAATAATTTTTCAAACATAGTTACAT